GCCTTTAATGGGAAATAATTGGATCGTCAGCCCCAGAAACGCGTGCTCGCCGATCGATTCCTGTACTTTAGTTTTTCGAAAGGTAGATGCGATCCAAAGATAGATGGATCCTGTTGACAGCACAAAGTAAATTTTTATTATTTTAGTAAAGGTCTAAAGTAACATTTTTTTTTTTACATATTCTCTAATGGGTATCGATTAATATTACCCAGAATGATTACACGGGCATCGAAATAAAAATAATTTTCAAATTGCACAGAGGCGATATATTCGTGTTAAGTGCTTTCAACGATATACGATATTGATTTTCAGTATTTTATTGCATTTTCTTGAAACAAACTGACCATCCATTGTATATACGGCATATTTAATTTTATTGTTAATTTAATATTAATATTTAAAATTTGAGTTATGTAGCAATACATAATGAAATAAAATAATGTACATTAATAAATAATAATTCAATAATATTCATAATAATATATATATATATATATATGATTATATAATAAATTAATATTTAATTATTCTTCTTAAATTATTCTATTCTTAAGGCGTTATTATATTATATTATATGGTTGGTCTGAGCCGCCTCGCCAGTATTGGCCGGCACAAAGCTTAATTCGATTTATATCAAGTACAAAAGGGACAATCCTATTAAAGTGATCTGTATCTAAATACTGTAAATAGGTCACCGACAGTAAAATGTATCTTTGTCCAACGTATATATTAGCGTGAAATCTTGTATAGAGAGAGAGGGAGGGGGGGATACATCTTTGTATCTGTGTGCGCGCATATAATATTCGTACTGCAACCATCGCCCATCATTTAATCGTCGACTTGTTCTTTGATGTCCGAGCAACAACGTTCAAGTTCCACCGATATATGTCTATCGACATAGATATTGTGAACTCTGCAGTCTCGAGCGTTCTGCGACTTTACCATCAGGTACCTCGCACAGATACAGAGAATTCCGATACAGAGATAGTCAGTCGCAAATAGATCGTGTATCTTTACCATCAAATTCGACGTATTTTAACGCTAGCTTCTCTTTCGCGGACTTTGGAGAACTCTCTATTTGGCCACGTTATTACCACGCAGCCACGTCTATCCGGGCGGACTCTTCCGGCTTTCCAATCTTCTTCTCGTCTTCTGCCCGTACTTTGCATTTTTCTTCAGACATATTTCTCTTCGGGCATATTTCGTAGGCAGCTCGCGTAGCGCGTGTCGGCCAACTCCGTGTAACGTAAGAGTCTTTCCTAAGCAAAATGGGAACGTCTCACACGCATACCGGGTATCGAATTTTACAGGCGTTCGGCGACGTTAATCATTCTATTTCGGAGTCCCCGAGGAGCGAATGGGGCGCGACGCGTACATTAGCAGACGCGTCTCTCATATACTGACGTCAAACGTCGAATTTCTAAGCCAACTCCGCTTAGTCTCGGCCAATAATCTCGCAGCGTTCACCTGCCAGTCCCGCCGACTGCTCTCCCTTCCTCCATCCCTTTCCCCCTGGACCCCCCCCTCTCCTCCCCTTTCGTTCGCTCTCAAGTCGAACATTATGCTCGGCCGCGCGATCATGAGCAAAGTATGCGCACATATGCAACGTTCATCCATATTCATGCTGATTTCCGTGCAGTCGTGCTGCTCGTCGCGCCTGAACGATCGATTTTATTTTGTGCTTAATAATGTTCAACCGATGTATTATATGCCTCGTTCATGCAATTCATTAGCGATCTCTCTCTCTCTCT